GGGGCTGGCGGGGGGACGGGGACACTGGGGGGGTCGGGCAGCCCTGTGACTCTTTACATCCCCTGGGCTCCGCTCCACAGACAACGTCCCCTGTCACTTCGTGGCCGCTTTCGGGGCCGGTTTTTGCGCCACAGTGGTGGCCTCGCCCGTGGACGTGGTGAAGACGCGGTACATGAACGCCAGCCCCGGGCAGTACCGCAACGTGCTCAGCTGCCTCCTGGCCCTGCTCATGCAGGACGGCCTGGCCGGCTTCTACAAAGGGTGAGTTGTTAAAAACCAACCCCCCAAAAAAAACCCCAAACTCGGTGCAACCAAGCGCCTCTGCACCCCAAAAGGGCTCTTCCCAAGGACCCGCTTTTCCCGGCGCAGGTTTGTCCCCTCCTTCCTGCGCCTCGGCTCCTGGAACGTGGTGATGTTTGTCTCCTACGAGCAGCTGCAGCGTGCAGTGGTGTTGGCCCGGCCAGGCCCCTCCTGACACAACCCCCCCCCCAGCCCCTCTCGTCAGCAGTGACGAGACACACGAGTAAATTATATTAATTGATGAAGCAGCAAGGGGAAAGGGTGACACCAAACCAGCCCCACCCCACCCCAGCTCGATGGGACGCCCCAAGAGGAAGTAGAAAGATGGGAAGAGAAACGAGGCTGTTTGTGGGGAAAGGGAGGTTTCCAGAGAGGAGTTAAAGGAGGAAGAAAGAAAACATTTGTAGGTTTTGCAGCCAGGAAGAGGATCGCTGCCTGGTGGGAACGAGGGACTGGGTTGAGGGCCGGGGGCTGTGGTGATCCCTGTTCTTCCTGACTGACAGTTCCAATAAACCACCCCTATGGGGTCTGATACAGCAGCGCTCGGGGCTCCCTCACCTTTTTTTGGGGGGGGTTAGGGTTGTTCTGCCAGCGCTGGGGTGCTGCTGGGAAAGAGGACCCAGGCCTTACACAAAAGCATCTCCTGGTCTCAAGTGCTAACAGGGAGCAGCTTTAGTAGGTTAATTTTTGTAATTTGGAGGGGGGGGGGGGAAAATCTAAGCTGGGTTCACATGTGCCACCCCTGGGGGCAAAAAGCTGCTGCCCCCCTCCCTGGGGGAGGCACCCCCAGCCCCCCCGGAGGGCTCACCCACTTCTGATGGGGTGCTGCACCTGTTGCCATGGCGATGGCTGTGCCCAGTGTCCCTCCACCCCCCTCAGGACAGGAGATCTCACCTCTGGCCAACCCGCAGGGCCGGGTCTCCAACCCGGGTCCTCCCGCGGTCCCTCGCACTTGGAATAAATCCTGGAGTCTTTTCTTCCAGGGTTGTTTTGTTTTTTCTCCATTTTCCCTGGACACAGTTACCCCCAAACCCTGAGCTCTCCCTGCTGAGAGTACTCCAACCCCCCCAAAACCCTCCATAACCCCCCCCCAACACTGCAGCATGGGAGGGATGGAGAAAAATCCGCAAAGCAGGAAGAAAAACCACCTCCTGGGTGCTTACTGTGTTTTAGGGTGCTTAGAACCACCTCTGCCCGGTCAAGTGCTGGCTCCAGTGCTTTTTTCAGGGGGAGGAAAAGGGGAAGGGTCGCCATCCCCTACGGCAGGAGGGCATTTGTCAAGAGTTTTTTCTTCTCAGGCGTGAGCTTCTGGGGGAAACGGATGTTGAAATAGATGAAGAGGTCGCCCTTGCGGCGGGGGTCCTGGAGCAGTGGCATCCCCTCCCCTGGCACCCTTTTGCAGTACTGGGGGCTGCAACACAAAGAAAGGGGCTGAGAGGAGCTGGGGGATGATCCTGACACGGGGGCTGCGGGCCCTGAGCCCCACACACGTTTCTGGGTGCAGTTCTTCGAGGTGTTTTACTCCTCCAGCTCCTCTTCCAGCCTCGAGGCCCCACATTCCGTGTCCTGCAGCCCTTGTCTCACTCCTGTCCCCCATCCCCCCCTCCAAGCCCTCTTCCTGCTTCTGCCACCAACAATGTGGCCCCCCAGGGCCGAGGAGTAGCCCATGGTGGCATCTTTCTCCTCCAGGCGGTGGCCCCAGCCCCAAACATGCTGGAAAAGCTTCTGAAGTGCCCCAGTAATTCAGGCAACATAGACCTGCTCGGCCACACCTCGGCCTTTCCCACGGGCCAAGGCTGAGGTTCCTCTGTTCAGCTCCTTGGCTACCAAGCTTTGGAAGGAAAAGCCCCATCAGACCACCTGAGCCCACCAGCCCTTTGCCCCACAGCACTCACTCCACGATGTCGTTGATGGGGATTTTCAGGTGCCTCCTGTCCAACGTCCTCACGTCCACAGTGCAGCCGGTCAGCGCCTGCAGGGCAGGGGGTGGATGAGGAGCTGCATTTGCAGCCCCAAAAGAGCAGTAGGGGGGTGGCTCCGTGTCCCCACGCTCGGCTCTTTACCTCTGCCAGGAGGATGGTAGCAACGTAAATGAGGTCGTTGTTGGTTCTTTTAAACCTGGGGTGGACTTTCTCTTGGACAACAAAGGTGATGTCAGCTGGAATGACGTTTGGGCCCTAAAATTGAGGGAAAGAAAAAAAAAATATCTGGAAATAGTTTAGTGCAATACAAATGATTTTATGATTTTAGACAGGGAGAGGTGACACTAATGCCTGCCCCTCTTGCTGCTTCCAGCTGGTTAGAGAAGAAAAAGGTATTTTCTTCCTTTAAGAAAAAAAAAAAAAAAGTCTTTTTTTATTAAAGACTCCCACTCAGCCAAAGGAAATCAGACTGGATGATGCCAGGCAAAAAACCACCCCTTTCAATTATTTTTTATCTATCCTAAGGAAAACACAGGCAGGAAGGGCTGTTTCTAAGCACAGTAACACTGAGTTGCTCCATTAGCCGTGCTGCCAACTCCCCAAAGCAACAGGAAACCTGCAGAGAGTGGTCAGATTTGGGAAATCTGGCCCAGAACTTCAGACGACGACGTCATTACCTGGTCTCCTTCCTTCTCAAAGGTGATCCTGGTGCCCTGCTTCCACCCCGGCTGCACGTCGATCACTAGGATCTTATCTCTGATGGTGCTCGTCTGACCATCTTCGTTCATCACCTGGGGGGTAGGCAAGAGCATTAGAAAAGCTGGATCATCAAGTCATGGAAGTGGTTGGGGGGACCTTGAAGATCATTCAGTTCCACCCCCCTGCCCCAGGCAGGGCCACCTTCCACCAGCCCAGGTTGCCCAAAGCCCCGTCCAACCTGGCCTTGAACCCTTCCAGGGAGGGGGCAGCCACAGCTGCTCTGGGCAGCCTGTGCCAGGGCCTCACCCCCTCACAGGGAATAATTTCTGCCTTAGATCTCATCTAGATCTCCCCTCTGACAGTTTAACACTGTTCCCCCTTGTCCTATCCCCACATTCCTGATGACTAGTCCCTCCCCCCGTTCCTGCAGCCCCTTTCAGCCCTGGGGGGCCGCTCTAAGGTCTCCCCGGAGCCTTCTCTCCTCCAGCTGAACCCCCCAACTCTCTCAGCCTGTCCTCACAGGGGGGCTCCAGCCCCCCCAGCATCTCCGTGGCCTCCTCTGGCCCCGCTGGAGCAGGTCCGTGTCCTTCTGCTGTTGGTGCCCCCGAGCTGGACCCAGCCCTGCAGGGGGGTCTCCCAGAGCGGAGCAGAGGGGGAGAATCCCCCCCTGGCCCTGCTGCCCCCCCTGCTCTGGGTGCAGCCCAGCACACGGGGCCTTTCTGGGCTGCCAGCGCACGGTGCTGGCTCACAGGCAGTTTTCCATCCTCTAACACCCCCAAGTCCTTCTCTGCCGGGCTGTCATCCCCCCAAGGGACAACACAGAGAGGTGATCTGGGACACCGAGGTGCCCAAAGAGGGGGCTGCAGCTGTTGCACTCATCCAGCCGTGTGTGAGCCAGCAGAGGGGGGCGAGGGCAGCTCACACACCGCAGCAGAGGGGCTGCAGGTTGGGTTCAGGTTCCTCCCCACGGCACGGACACAGCACTGTGCCCTGCCGAGCCCCCCGAGCAGGACCTCAGCGTCAGGTGCCGCTGCTGAAACATCCTACACCAAAAGGAGGAGATTTCAGCCCAAAATTCCCCCCCCTTTCAGGGTGTACCCCCCCCTTTCACCCCCTCTGCTCCTACCCTGCGGGAGATCTTAATCTTCCTGGTGCAGCCATAGAACAGGTCTTCGAGGGAGAGGTAGAGGTCCCTCACAATTGGGGGGTCCTGCTTCATCGCTCCTCGTCCTCGCAGCCCCCCGAAGGGCAGGATCAGCTCGGAGCCATCCTCGGCAAAGAACTCTGCACGAGCAAGCAGAGGGGGGGGGGGTCATTGCACTCAGATCAGATGTTGGGGTGTCCTCCGGGGTCTCCTTATCGTGGCGGCTGAAAAACATGCCACCCCAAAACCTCCCACCTGCTGGTGCCTGGGACCACCTTCCCCCTCCAACTGGTGTGTTTTTTTCTCTGGGAGTGTTTTTATCTTGCCAACGTGTTTACTACAGTCTCACCAACCTGACCCCTCTTTTTGGTGGAAATCCTCTAAAAAAAGGGGTCACAACAGTAGCTGGGGAGAGCTGAGAGCTTGACCACACCTCCCCAGGCCTCTCAGCCAGGCGGGGCTCGGGGAAAGTCAGGATCTAACCTCCAAGCACTGGGAACCTGCAGCCCCAGTGGGAAACGTCTCCATAAAGCTTAAAGCTCAGAGCTGGCAGTGGCCACGGCATCAAAGCAGCCACAGGTGGGGCCTTGGGCCACCCCCCAGCACCTCCACACCTACCCGCAAAAGGGTTGTCTCCACCAAAGAACTCCCTGAAGACTTTGTCGGGGTTGTTGTGAAACACGTAGCCAGCGGCCCAGGGGTTCTCGTCACCAAACTCCAAGGGGATGCCGCCTTTGAGACCCTCTTCTCCAAACTTGTCATAGATGCCTTTCTTCATGGCTTGGGGAACAAGGAGGAGTTGGGAATGGCCACACTCTCCCATGCTGGGGGGAGAGCACCAGCCTGAAATCCAGGTTTTGCTCAGCCAGAGGCTGGAGAAGGGGGTTCCCCAACCCCCTTTTGAACAGCAGGAGGGGAGGTGGAAGCAGGAGCGTGTGCCAGCTCTCAGCCTGGCTGCGGGTCACGGAGCTGACACCGATGGGGGTTCAGACCTCAGCACCCCTCTGGCCACCCCAGAGATTCTTCACCCCCCGTCCAGCCCCTAAACTCCGTGGAGGAGAATCATCTCCCTACTTACGGTCGCTGAGCACATCGTAGGCCTCTGCCAGCTGCCTGAACCTCTTCGGTGCCCAAGGCTCCTTGCATTTCAAAGGGTGGTTCTTCAAGGCCAGTTTCCGATAGCTACAAGGGGACAGGAGGGGAGACCCCTGCCTCACAGCCAGCCCCGGGGTGCCAGGACACCCCCATCCCAGGCTGCTCCCTCACAGCTTCTCCCAGACCCTTTCCTCTGATACAGAGAAATGATTACTTGTTTTGAGATTTATTTACTTACAGCAAGTTATAGCAATATTCAAAAATACTATAAGTAATACTAAGAATCCTGCTTGCCCAGACTGTTCTGTGGAATTTTACCCAGGACTACCGCGTCCATCAAAACAAAGCAGTTCCCTGTGAAACTCTACCAAGAACTGCAGTGTTCAGCAAAAATTATACTTTTGTCCTCCAGGAACAGGTCTGCTCTAACTAGTTAGAATTTTGCTAATGAGTAAAGAGCGCCATGTACGGACGGGAGAAGTTCCGTTGGTACTTTTAGATAAGATAGAATGAGTAAACCGGCTGAAAACCACTCTTGTTGGACAAGAAATTGGCCGAGAATCTGCACATGCTCTGGGGAAAAATACAAGGTGAGAAAGACCAGGAGCCTTCCTCCCAAAGCCCCCCGGAGACGCCCCCCAGGGGCCATGGGCAGGTGCAAAGAGAACATCAACTGCTGCCACCAGCCTCTAGAACTGACCCAGCCTCATCCTGCACAGGGGCATTCGTGTGATGGAACCCCATGAATATGGACATCCACACCCGATCAGGTTTTGGTAAAATGCGCAGTGGGGGTGCGAGCTTGTGGAGAGATCCCCTTGCACCCCGGTGCCGGAGTAAACATCCCTGCGGTGTAACTGTTCGAGTTGTAGAGCCTGTTTTCCGCGAATCGGGGAC